TTGTGTTTTGGTTCCTTAGGCATTGGCGCCGGACGGCCTGAGCTTTGGCTTCCTTGGGCAGGCCCCCTGGCAGCAGGCGCTGCAGCTGCTGCCGAGCCTTCGCACCGCCACCGCAGCGAGAAACGCCGCGGACGAGAGCAAGGCGGCGGTGGGGTACAACGCCCTGCTGACGGCCTTGGGCCGAGGCGGCCGGCACACAGAAACGGAGACGCTGCCCACAAGTGCAAACGGGAATCCGCACTTGTCTGCATTTGCTGAACGGTTGAAGCAACATGCACAGTAAAAAGACCTGGAATTCTGTTCGGGGTGGCCGTGGTGCCAGGAAGTGCTGTCGATTGCAGTTTGGGTCCCCCGGGAAAACAACTGGGACTGTGTTAGAGGACGGCTCTCTCTTGACCCGTTCTTCCCTCCCACTCCAACTTTGTTTTTCAGGGATCTTTGAGAAGATTGCTTTGAAAGTTGTCCTTTGAAACATGTTTGTGCAGTCACGATTCTGACCGTTTCTGGAGGCTACCAAGTCACTCACTGGAATTTAATGTTATCCTGTAACCTACCACTTTGCAGGTGACTTTGGTAAACTCATGAGGCCAGTTTTTTACTCTCAGGCGGCCAGTGGGAGAAGGTTTTGGCCCTGCGACTGGAGGCACTGGGCTCGAAAAGATCGGCCGTGGGGTTGGGGGTGGGTTTGCCCTTGTTTTTGGCCAGCTTGAGTTTTTCATTTGGAGGAAACAAGGGGGGATGGGGGGTTGGCTGGGGCGGATCCGGTTCTATCATGGCAGTGGGGTGGGGAAGGTTATTTCCCTCCTCATCATGGAACTCTACCAGTACCACAGAAAGTCGGTTCAACAGAGCAAATCTATTCCACCCTGGCTTCCCTTTCTCGGCATTTCTACTGGGTGGTTTTCTACGGCCACCGAAAAAAGGTATGGCTTTCACCTCGGTGTTTTAGGACTGAGGTCCCTGAAAGGCTCTCCTGTACCAGCCTGGGTAAAAGGTGGGCTTTCATTTGACCAACATGTATCCTTTGAGAAACCCTGCCGTACCACCTTGTTTCCCCAGCATGGCCAAAGTCATACATACCTGTTAAAAGTGTGGCATGGTTGGAAAAGAACATCTAATTGGGAACCAACCTGGACGGGCCCCTAATTTCAGACACAGCCAGGTGTGTCTCAAAACCACAAAGTGACTCGACTTGGTGTGTTTGGCGTGTTGTGAACCAACCTGAGGGTACCGTTCCCGAACGAGCCCAGGCTCTCGTCGCCTGCAGGTGCCGTGCCCCACAGTGGTGACCTACACTGCGGCGCTGAACGCCCTGAGCTTCGACCGCTCGGAAGCTTCGGGCGCCTGGCGCCAGGCGATCTCAAGTGACTCAAGGGGTCAGTCCGGAAAAATCACTGGGGTGGCCAAACTTGCCTCAAGAGAGGGAGCTAGCTACCAAGAGTACATGGTTTCTGTTTCAAGGGCCAACCTGGAGGGGTGCCTAGCGAGGAAAAAAACTGCGACCTCTTGTGCCGCGTCTTCTTCGCTTTCTTTTTTTCTCGGCAGGTGCTGCCGCTGTTGGCAGCGGCGCGGCAGCAGCGGGTGGCGCTGGACTTGATGGCAACTCGTCTGGCGGCCTTTGGTCAAAGGGTAGGGCTTCCACCAAGCCGAGCCTTCCATTTGCTTTAGACTATGACTTTCAAGGAATCTATGAGTTCCGTGTGTTGTCTTCCATAGATTCCTGCCGAGCCTCTTAAGGAATCTATTGTTACTGCATTTGTTAGCAAAAAGAACCAGAGGGTTCAAGCTAGTGGAAGCCAGAGGTCCTTGTTACCCCTACAGTTGCGCGGTAGGAAACCACACATCTCCCGTTTGGTTTTTGAAGGGCCGGCAACCCAGAGGCAACCACTATAACTGGTAATTTGGGGTTCCACCAAGTGTTAAACATGATGGTTTTTTAGGGTTACCCATTTTGGCACTGTAACTGCCGATACCCCCACACTCAAACACTCACCTCGATCCACGCTGTGTGAATGTTAGTCTGGTGTTTGGGGGGGCGGGGGTGCGCAAAAAAGGTGTGTTTGAAAATGCGGGTGTCAAACATGGACGTTTGTCGTGGAGGCTTTCCTTTTCAGCTTTGGTTGCCAGTTGCTTTCATCATGCTAACACTGGCTCCAGCCTTGTCATCTTGCCACCCTCATTTTTGTCCATTTGAGAAAGGAACAACCTGTTTTTTTTCTTCGGTGAGTTTGTTTGAAAATAGGTGGGTTCCACCGATTTCTGCTTGGTTCTAATCAGTTGCCAGTGCCATTTTCCTTGGTTCGGGTTGCTCCTTGACCGTTCCGACAAAAAGATAAACCCTACGCGAGAAGCGGTCGTGCCTTGGTGTGCAGCCCCCTAGGGCCCCTAGTGGCAGGTTGTCAAAATCTCATCATACTGTTTGTCGTTGGGGGAGTTTCCATGTTTTCGAGGTGTCACCCCCGTTTGGACTCCTGTGAAAATTGTGCACCAGTTTTTCGGCTGGATGTATGCCTTCTCACCTAGAGGGTTATAGTACCTAGGGTTGCACCCACTGGCCCTGGACAATTCCCTCATTTGGTTTTTTTTTTGAGGCACTTCGGATCCATTTCGAGCAGTCCCCATGCAGAACCCTTTCGTGAGCTTGCGGCCCCTCAAGTCCCCAAGGCCTGGAACACCGCATTGAAGGTTTGCGGGCCCAGGACCTGCGAGAGACCGAAAGAGGTGCTGAAAAGCAGCTCATCTGGTTGCTTTCTTGGTGCTTTGGGGTTCTTCTTGTTTTTTTGGAGATCTGGAATCTGGAAGTAGGATCTTCTTTTGTGTCTTTGTGGCTTATAATGTTGGAGAGTGCAAATCGCGGGTGAAGAGCGCTAGGTTGAGGAGTTGCCAGCTTGTGAAGTAGAATCTCCGTATGTGCAAAGTGTCAGTTTGGTGAAGCCTGCAGAAGGCCGACATGGATGTTCTCAAAATTAGGAACACCCTGCAGGTGGTTGCTTTATGGTCGCGCTTTAGCACCCCAACGGGGTCCGAAATCCACGTCCAGAAACCCTCGCCTTGAAATCCGAAACAACACACACAGGGAAACACAGCAAACAGTATCAACGGACACGTTGATTGTTTGATTTTGCTCATGGTGCTTGTGGGAGCATTCTTCTTTGTGCTGTAGCTGGCGGCTTTCGAGAACTGGCTAGTTCAGGCTTTGAACAGATGCCTGCAAAGGTTGACTTGGGCATTGTGCGTTTTGGGACAAACTGGGGAAAGACATTGGACCCATGCTTGTGCGCTTGTGCTTCTTTTCGGGGTTGGGAGGGGGGAGTAAATACTCCTTGCTTGGCTCGGGCAAGTCAGTGAAGTTGGACCTGTGGTTTCGCACATCTAGAGGAACTGGGAATTGCGATGCCAAGCCAAACGCGATTAGGGAGATAATCTTCTAAGAGAGTGAAGCTATTAGTTCACTTCGGTTGGACAAACGTTTGAACCCCGTTGTACCAAGCTTCAAGGAAGCTGAGGCGCACTTTCAACTTCAGACTCGTCAGGATGTGGCAGGAGGCGCTGGGGATGCTGGAGGAGATGCAAAGCAGCTCTGCCAGGCCTGACATCATTAGCGTCTTGGCTGAGTGAGGTGTAGGGGTATGTGGGGCATGTGGGGGGACATGTGGGGGGCATGTGGGGGGACATGTGGGGGGCATGTGGGGGGACATGTGGGGGGCATGTGGGGGGACATGTGGGGGGCATGTGGGGGGACATGTGGGGGGCATGTGGGGGGACATGTGGGGGGCATGTGGGGGGACATGTGGGGGGCATGTGGGGGGACATGTGGGGGGCATGTGGGGGGACATGTGGGGGGCATGTGGGGGGCATGTGGGGGGACATGTGGGGGGCATGTGGGGGGACATGTGGGGGGCATGTGGGGGGCATGAGCATGTGGGGAGGGGGGGCGGGACGCCAGGGCAAAGACAAAGTAATGAACCAAAAAAGGGAGCTGGAAATGCATGTGTGCCCTGGTCCCAAATGACCAGTGAAGTTGGTCAGCGTGATGTTTGCGATGGTGGTTTGGGACGGTCAGGGTCAGTCAGGGTCCTTGACAGGGAGGCATGAGCATGACCCACAGGAGTTTCGACCATGGCTCATGTTGTGAACTTTACCCTCCCTGTACCGTCAAGAGAGAAAATAGGTCTGGCTTTTGTTGCCCTTTGCCCGGGACCGTTTTTTTTGTTTCCCTTGTGCCAGGGCAGTTGGAGCAATCCTGTTCTGTTTTTTCCCTATGTGTTGATGAACTTTCCTTTTGCAGGGCTCCTTTCTTTTGAGCAACTCTGGCTTCCGTCTGTGAGGCTTCACCGCAGCCATCACCGCCGTAGGCGGGGGCGGCGCGTGGCAGCACGCGCTGAAACTCTTCCACACCGCCTCCAAATGCTTCCGAGCCCCGGCTGGCTTCGGACATCGACCTTTTTTACCTTTGGGCTTTCCCATCTTGATTCATGTTTAGCAAGTGCCATTGCGATGCTGCCCCAAATTGCCACATTTCTTCTCCAGGTCCTTTACCCAAGTGATGGGTTGGTGTTTCAGGGCTCCTTATGTTGTCTGGAGTGGTTTCACAACTCGCCCGGTTGCCCGGTTGCGCCACCAAGGATAATTTATTTGGCATCATGTCGGCTTTCGATGGATCTTTTCCCTCTGTGGGTTTTCCCAAACTTGAGTACTGAGTCTCCTTTGGTGGTTTGGAGGTGATGCCCCCTCTTCCAGTTTAGCAGGCAGACTTAGGCTGCGTAGGCAATGCTTAGACTTGGGTAGCTGAAGGTGAGGGAGGCTGACTTGAAGTTGAGTTGATTGGTTGGCTTGATCGAGCAGCACACTTTCCAACAAACCCGCGGGCAACTGAGTAAATGGCCAGGCACCAAATCAACAAAAAGGGAACCGACGATGGCCTCCTGTCCTATTTCCAGACCCTCCCCCCGCTTTCAATTGGGTGGATCAACCCAAACGCTCCAACGCATACAATGTTCACCCATGTTCACCCACATTTACCGGTCGAACGTTGGCGTACGTGCATGGAGTGTGTGGGATGAAGGTCCTTTTCCCAGAAGAGAACTGCACCGTCGATTTTCGATTTTCGCCCCAAGCAACGGCCGCCAAACGCTGGGTCAAAGGCCTGGATGCCCAGATCTACGTGAGCGCTCTGAGCGCCTGCGCAGACGCTGCCGCCTGGCGGAGCGCGCTGCAGGCGCGTGACGTGAAGTGTGCGTATGTTTGGCTGTGCATGTTTGTGGAACATGTGTTTGTTTGGTGTTTTTCTTTGGGGGGGGGGGGGCGTGGGGCTGGGCCAAGAGCATACAATGGTCAAGTCACGGCCACGGCCCACTGCTGTATCACAGAAGGGTATATTGTCCACAACCACACTATTTTGCACATTTCAGCAGCAACTCTACGGCACGGGTTTGGTTGGCTTCCTTCCCCTGCCGCAGCTGGAGCGGTGCCCAAATGCCCCTGGCCGCTTTGGCGCAGGGTTCTGCCTGGTATGGGGAAGTGGGGCCATCAGCTTCTGCAATCATGTCAGACCTCTGTCATTTTTCAGCTTTACGGTATGCCAATGCGATGACTCGCATTGACAGTCAATCCCCCTTTTTTTGTCGGCGCTGTTTTTTTCCATGGACTGGCAGAAGGGCTTCGACTTCCGCGTCCCCAAGAGGATGGTAGAATCGCAGGTGGTGTGACGTGTTTTGCTAACGGGTAAACTGTTGTTACCACAAAGAAAATAAGAGCACACACACAACAAAAAATAAATAAATGAAGAAAGAAATCCTCCCAAAGCTTCCGCGCGCCCAGTTGGCCGCCTTGGAACCGGCCCCCTCTCGCGCCGGCCTGGGGGCGCTGCTGCGGGCGCTGAAGGGTCAGTGGCCCTGGGCCTTACGGCAGCTGCGGGCAGCCAAGAAGGCCAGGGTCGCCTCTTTTCAGGGGTGGATCCAGAGGCGTTTGCGTTTCCACTTCTTCTTCTTCTTCATCATCATCTTCTTTTTCTTCTTCTGTTTTCGGTTTGTAGGGTGAGTTGGCGGTTTCAGCATGACATCACAAACTTTGACTCTAGCTGGTTGCTCAAGGCGGGGTAATGTTTGTGACATCCGTTTGCATGTTGAATCATTTTGAGGTTCACTGAATATGGGCCAGGAACTGAACTTAGTCCAGATTGGGGCAAAGCTGAAGTAGACGGATAGCTTTCCCACGCTGGATTGATCAATTCAAACATGGGAACCAAACAAGGGAACTGAAACGGCATCTATGTTGTTGTTTAGACAGTTGTACCCGCCTGTAATGATCCCTGTGTATGTCAGCTGGGTTTTGGATGCATCCTTTCAGGAAGCCTATGCACCCACCATTTAGCGCTTGGTTCCCATTCATCTGAGCTGGTTTGCACTACCCGTTTTAATGAGACGTGCAACCACTTAATGTAGGCACACAAAGGGTATCTTTCGGTGGTTCGGGAGGTAGTGGCGAGCATCTTGGAGTTCCCTCTGTAAGCCAGGTGGGTTCTGCCATGTATCCTTTCAGAAAGTCTTTTGTACCTCCCATGCCGGGTCTGGTTCCCATTCATCCAAGATGGTTTGCACTAGGCGCTTAAATCTAAAGTGTCTAGAGATTCAGTGGGTACCGAATTTCCCCACTTTCGGAAACATTCAGCTCAGGAGTGCATTTGTTTTTCTGATGGTTTGATTTCAGATTTATTTGGAATCATAAGCGTTGCCAACCACCATGCAACAATGCCTATTTTCTGGTGGTTTGGGGGGCTGGTTTGGGTGGCTTTTCTGGCGGCTTGGGGGTGGATTGGCTTTTTACTGTTCTGGTGGTTTGGGGGTTTGCGTGGCTTGGCCCATGGAATTTCAGGAGCAGGTGGACACCTTGGCCTACAACACGGTGCTGGCGGCGCTGCCCTGGGACCAAGGCCTGGCGCTGCTGGTGACCCAAGCGGCGCCGGACGCCGCGGGGTTCGGGGCCGTGCGCCTGGGACTGGCGGAGCGATCGGTTTGCCCGGCACGTGGAACATGCGCCCAGTAAGGCGCAGGCTCATGTTGATTGAGGAAAATCACACCTGGCTTGGAAACACCTTGTAAGGAAGCAGAGGGATGGAGAGATCGTTGTAAATGCTTCTGTTTTGTGGCTCGGCTTTTGAAGAAAGAGACGAGAAACGCTCATCGGGTATAGAGCCTCGTTTGGCGTCCCCCTTGAGCCCTCCCCCCCCTCTGCTGTGTGCGTCATTTGTTGTCCCCACATGAATGCTTTATGCTGGTGCAACCTCTCCTTTCGAAACAGCATCGGCCAAAACTGAGCAACAAGGTCAGTTTTGCGGCAAACATGGAAGCCCGGACCTGTTTTTGGCCCCTGCTCCTGCAAGAGCTCGTGTGGACGTAGAGTGACATCTGGCCCTTGTATGTGCCAATGTCCTTCAACACGAAGATGTCCCTTGCGGTGAAGGTGGACTGCGTCTCCGAATGCCATGGGAACCTCAAGCATTGAAACCGCACTGACCAGAACAATTTGGCCCTCGCTCGACTCGCGCTTGCTGCGTGAATGTCCCCTAGTGCGGGACGGCGATAAACCAATCCACGTGCTTCTTTTGTTCTGGCTTTGGGCCGTGTTGCCTTGGATCCGAGGCTTAGTGCATGCGAGGCCTTGCACGAGTGGGCCATGGCCTTTGCCCTGCTGGAGTACATGCAACGGCGGCTTGGATCAGATTTGGTGCCCCAAATAGTTGCTTTTTTGTTGTGTTTTCAGTTGGGGCCTTTTCTGGTGGGCTTCAAGGGCCAGAGGGAAAGAACCAGTTCTCGGGTGTAGCATGACACATGCCCAGACATTCCCAACTACATACAGCTGTGTGAGAGGTAAACACCTTGCATGTACGGGAACGCTGCTTCTGCTAGCCGCTAGCTCATCTATATATAGATATACGGTACACAAACCTAGGTGTTTCTTCAGTTGCATTTCATGTTGTTTAATTAGTTTTTGTTCTTTTAATTTGCATGTGCCTGAATGTAGTTTATAAAGCCAGCTACCCTAAGGCATGTACTTAGATGCTGTTTGACGTTGAGCAGCTCACGAGCGCAGGTGTTTGGCGTCGCCAGACGTGCAAGCATGCTGCTCGGCGCTCAGCGCCTGTGAGAAGGGCAGGCGTTTTTGGGGGGGAGTTTGAGGCGGCCAAGCCTGGGCGGTGGTTGGATGAATGAAATAAGCTTTGGTTGATTTCTAGGGGGGCGTGTCACCTTGTGGTGGGAGTCCGAATTGCTTTTGTGGGTGACACCGGCCCCTTAAAGGAGAGATTTTGGGGTTGGGTTAGATGATCACTTTACCATTTACTCTGAGAGGATCCGCATCCTTGTGGAGCAGGTGTTTTTTAGAAATGTATTCTTTAAGGAACCTTTTTGCGTGTTTCCATGTTTGGAAGTTATGGATGAGGATTGGCAAGAGCTACAATCACTATTTGGATGCTTGGCGGCTAGTAGGGTGACAGTCCCTGCATGACTTCTGCACCGTGGTTTTTGGGGCAACCTCACTTACTACCAGGCATGGACTAAGCTCAGCTAGGCTAAATCGCCGACGAGTCTCATTTCCAGCCGGATGTTTCAGGGGGATTGAATCGATCAGCGGATGTCATTCGTTTTCTGGAAGTGCTTAACACGTGGCCTTCCATCCATTTCTCCCCGACCTTGTGCGAACGGCAATTTTCTTGCCGTGGCCCTACCCAAAGCCGACCTTTTTTGCCTTTTGGTTCCTACATTGAGGGTCCTTCAATTTCCGTGTTCTTTGAGCAGATGAGTTGTTTGGTTGGCGGGGTTCACCTAGGTCTTTGTTTCTTTTCGATTCTCCGTGAACATTCCCGAGTACGGTCTTGCGAGCTAAGTAAGGCACCTGAACGACACGTCTCTTCAGTCAGGTGCCGCGGTTTTTGCCCAAATCGCCTTTTCAATATTTCTTCTTCTTGGGGAGGTCCCTTTGTTCCCAACTTGTGGGATCCTTCCGTCCGACGGCCTGCCGCTGGCCATTTCCGATTCGGCCGACCTCGGCCCGACGTCGGCCGACGTCGGCCGAGTCGGCCAGGCAGTGGCAGCGCTGCCTGGCGCTCCTCGCGCGGATGTGGACTGGCCTTCCGCGGCCGGACGTGGTGGCCTATGGCGCTGCGGCGCTGGGCTCGGTGGGGGTGGAATGGTGTGGCCGGGAGGGGTGTCTTTGTGGGCGCGCGCCCCCTTGCTGGGATGGGAGAGAAGAGAAACCACCATAGGTATTTCTTTTTGGGGGGGGGTCCCCTTTTCTTTTTTTTGGAAGGGCCGCTAGGAGGAACTCCGGTGCCAAGAGGGGGGTCCCCTTGCAAAAGGAAAAGAAATGGCAAGAGGCTACTGGACGCCTGAAAAGCTGGCTCCCTTTTCTTCCTCCCCCTTTTCAGGTTGGCTGGAACTGCACCCGGCCGTCAAACAAAAATTGTACCAAAGGCAACTGCATGGTGAATGCTCGCCATTATCTTCCATTTGCCCCAAAGGAACCTAAAATTGGAAGAATCATCCTGGGCTTTGTCCAAACCCCTTGGCCACCGGTTCGCGCATGGACCTTCGCGACGAGATGAGGTGAGCGCCTGCGAGAAGTGCGGCCAGTGGCGCTGGGCCGTGCACTTACTGGAGGACCTTCGCGGCCACAGCCTGCAGTTGGACCAGGCGAAACGGGGGATGCGAACACGCGCAGCCTCGAAATTGATGTGTGTTTGTGCAAGGGGAGACCCAAAGGAACCCATTGCCATTTGTTTGCTTTCCTTCATGTTGAGACACACCAGTTCAGCTCGCCCACTCACTCCCTGAGCTCCTGGACTGTGTGTGCCCGCCTAATATGGAAATTAGGGGTTTTGGAAGACCGTGTTATGTTTGTGGGTTTGTGGGGAGGGAACCCTGTTGTGAATCCGGGTCATGAAGCAAAGCGGGTTTTCCAGGGGCCTGGCTGTCCTCATCCCCTTGTTTAGTGATCTATTTATCTATTTGACTATCTACTCCAAGAAAACCCCTGTTCATGCATTCTTTCTCACAGGAGGGTACCCGCAAAGGCTTGGTTGAAGACAAACATGCTTACATTTCTGTTCGTCGCCAGTTGAGATTTGCTTAAGTTCCAAAGAGGCCTTGGCCATGCTTGCCACCGGAAAGTCTACAGGAAGTTGGCCCGAACCTAGGGTACGTGGGTAGGTTGCCGGATTTTAGAGGATTGATATCCTTTTCTTTCCTGGAGGCCCCGCACCAGGACCACAAGGGTTTCGAACATGGGATTTGTCGCAGTTGTTGGCCCCTTTGGAAGTTCATTTCCCAAGCAAGGGCATGAGGCAAATCTGGCAGTCGCTGTGTTTGGCACGGTTTATGTTGAGTTGTTTGAGCTTGTTGTTGTTAAGGAGGGACGGGACTTCAAAGAACATGGATGTGTTTGAAACCAGGGGACCCCCCAAAAATGGTCAGTGTCCTTTGAGGTTCCCTTTAAACCGACTCCAACAAGGGTACCAAGTCTAAAACAGACACAGCCACATTGCTGACACGCACCTGCAGTTCCAGTGGTGTTTGCAGTCACCGAGCAGTCACCGAGCTGCCTTCTCCCACCATGGAACCTGACTGGAGGGTCCCGCAATATCTCGGGTGGTTCCATGTTGATTTCGGCCCCAGATGTAACAAACATTAAACCTCCCATGGTCGCGCGGGAAAGCTCCCGCTAGTCGGACGGGTTTCTGGGGTCAACCTTAGGGAGGCTAGGCGCCAGAGCCTCCCAGACGGAGGTGGCTGGGAACGCGGCGCTGGCGGCTCTGCAGACTCGGTGGCCGATGGCCCTGGCACTGCCCGAAGCCCCAGAGGGGGGCAGCCGATTTTGCCACACATCCATTTAACGGGCAATTCGGAGGACGGGGGGGTTGGAAGACTTGGAGCGCAATGAACATCAGCGAGATCAACGCAAATAATCACTCATCAACATCTCGCTACTGTGATCATAACTAAACTTGTGGTCAAAGACAAGCTAAGCCATTTTTCAATCTTTAGCCCCTTACATGGCCGGCACCAGCTAAACTCACATCCCCTGCGCGTGACCTTAGCCTCCAGTGCAAAGTCAGCGGGCGTCCAAGGGGCGACCTTACCTGCGCCTTCAAGGCCTTGTGATTGGGGATGGTCATGGTCCCCGGCCGTATGGTCCCAAACTCCGCGCTCCACGGAGTTTTGGCCACTTCCCCATCGTTGAATGCAAAAGCTACTTCCAGATACGACATCCAGCTGCCACTACCAAAGATATTGGGGACTTGGAACTCTAGACCTGGCTGTTCCTTCCAATTGGCGAGACAACAACCACAACAGCCATCAACTAAGCAAAACAGCAAAACTCAGAACCACGCAACCACGCAACCACGCAGCAACAGAAAAGACAACATACAACCATCACAATCTATCCTTGCCAACACCTAAGGATCCAAACTTGTCAACCAACATGTAACAAGCAACTTTAAAGGCATCCCCCCCAAAGCCAAGGCTTGTTGGCCCCGCAAAAGCCCATGGAAAAAGGTCCCACAGCTCACTCCCGTGCCTGGCGAGGCTGGGGCAGCTGCAGCGGGAGGGCCTGGTGGATTTGGTCAGCTTCAACGCCGCCATCGCTGCGGTGCCCTGGCGCTGGGCCCTGCACTTGGCGGAGGCAGGGAGGAGGGGGGAGTTGTTTTGCCTGATGGGAACAAGGAAAAGCGGGGGGGGGGGGTGGTGGGATGGGAGGAGCCTTGCGTGGTAACTGGGATTTTGCTGCCGAAGTTGGCAGCTGTTCGGTGGGCATTTGGATTTCCTGCCGAGGAGATGCTTGATTTCCGGGCAGTTTGACTCGGTTTCGGCTTGTTCTTCCGGCAGGTGAACATCAAACCCAAAAAGCAATCATGTCTGGAGGAAACACCTTTTAGGGGGACCCTTTCTTCTGGTTCCATTTTATTTTTGGATGGGAGTAAGTGGGGTCATCTCGCTAGCCCTGAAGCCCCGTCAAACCTTGCAGGAGCTGCGGGTCGCCCAGCTGGAGCCGGACCTTATCACCGCGGCCGGCCTGGCCCAGTGCCTGGAGGACAGCGGGTCGAGTGACCCGTTTTTGTTTTCCCGAGTTGGGGCTGTCTCAACTGACACTCATTGTTTGGTTGGTGGTTCTCCTTCCAGACTTCCAATGTATCACCCAGCCCCGAGGTTGGTGACGTACAGGAGTTGGTACAGATGCGTTCTAAATGGCCCAGTTGAACATTCCCTGAAGCCCGGATGCTTTTTTTTCCAAACCCCTAAAACACCCATGCTGGGTGCATTGTTGCACTCGTTAGGTGATGGGCGCTTCGATCGATGGGCACCACCTGCTGCGCTGGGCGGGAGGTTTGGAGCGCCAGGCGGGCGCGCTGCTGAGGCGCAAGGCCCTTGCGCGGGTTTTGAATAGGAATTGAAGGGGCATGGTTGTGGAAAGCGAGCAGGGCTCGAGGCTCGGGCGGTTGCGGAAACAGGATGTAGTTAGAATCGGGCTTTAGGTGGTTGCGGACCCTTTCTGTGATGCAAAGTGGGTCAATGAAGTAATCGTGGCGGGTGGTAATTCTTCCCCACACTTCAAACTTTGTGATTTTCCACAACCATGCTGTAGTGAGTGAGCAGGAAACGCGTGTAGATCAGTTTGGTGTTGCTCGCGCATGTGTTTCGCTGCGGCCTTCGGCTTCCTCGCGGCCTGAGCGGCCTAAAGGCCGCGCTTCCGCCGGCCTTGGCGGGTTTCGACCGCCCGAGAGCGGGTGGTCCGCGTAAGCTGCGGCCCAAAAAGAGCGGCGGGGGGATGAACATGGCGCCCCAAAAGCCTCTCGGGAATCGCCTTTGGAGAGGTGGACTTCCTTTTCACCCTCCATGTGGCGGGAGTGATGCATGCCTTATGGAAGACGTCATGCTAGCCACGCCCTTTCGATCATCGGACTGATGCATCCCAGCCCCAGTTCTCGGGAGGTTCGGGGGCTGGCCAGCTTGGTGTGCCAGATCGTCAACGATTTGTGTCGGGATTGCTGCGCTGACTGTAGCGAGCTCACCGATCCAGGGGAACGAACGATCCCCAGGAAAGCCACATGAATCGAATGAATCTGAGTCCAGGCTTCCTGCAGCTCAGGGGGAAGCTGGGGACGGAGTTCCATCCCACCTGGGCGGGGACCCTGGAAGGCTTCAAAACGCAAAGGGGAGCGTGCCAAAATCGGAAAGTTACGTATGTTAAGGAAACAGCCCCCCCTGTTGGACACACCAAAGCTGGCTTTTTGGTTTAGTTTCGCTCTGTCCGGTCAAAAAAGGACCCTTGGGCCGCTCGAGACGGCGGCGGGCATATCAGTAGTCGGGGGCCTTGCCCAGCAATAAATTGCTTTCATACATACCCCCCACCCTACATTTTTTTTCATCTTCCATCTTCTACCCTTATTTGTTTTCATCATTTTTCTACATTCCTTTCTGTCCATCTCATCCGTTTTTTTATCATCATTTTTCCAAAATTTTCGCCATCCTTTTCTCCTTCCTCCTCGCCTCATTCATTTCACCAACTACCCTCCAAAATGTCATTTCCTCAATCTCCTCGCCTCATCCATTTCAAAAAATGAAATTTTGCAAAATATATTGCAAAAAATATTTGTCATCAAAAAAATATTCGAACTGTCTAAAAACGATTTGTCCATTTCCCGGACAAAAAATAGAACAGCAACAACATCACACCCTCCTTCGTTTCATCAGTTTCATCATATATTTGTTTGGGTGTGGTCCTCTTGTAGGATTTTATCTTCAATATATAAAACGCTATACTTACATTATAATTATAACATATAAGGCTATAAATGTTATTATTATAGTATGATTAATAATTATGGGTTACATTTATAGTCAGGAAAAATGTCTTCAAATATGTAATCTACATATTTATCAATATCGCCAATGTCTATATATTTGATATTGTCTTTTCCTATTATTGAATAAATATATTCCCAGAAAAACAAATTAACTAGTAGCCATACTTGATATTTAGTGTTGTAGTAAGACCATACATGATATTTAGTTATTCTAAATTCATTCAAGACCTCGTTTATTTTATCTTTACTTAATAAATGCCAATCAATCGCATCAAACATGCCTCGAAATTTTTTAACAAATGCTTTATATGGTTTAATTGCGCTTGTCCCTCCAAACCTTTTAATCAAATCTTTATTATTGAAGAACTCATCAATTTCTTTTTCAAATGACTTTCTTGCAATTTTATGACAAAACTATACAGGAAATCTTTTGTGATATTTCATAAAGAATTTCAATTGTAATTGAAACTTTGTATATCCCTTATCCTTATATTTTTCAACAAAACACTTTTCAAGGTCTCTTGTTATACAGCATTGATTACAATATACATCATATTCACTTATTTTACTACACAGATTAGCAGGTAATAACTTATACAATGTTATATTAACATCATTCCTTTTAGTTGTACAACATTCGCACTTTGAATAATTAAATAACATTTCCACTGTAATATATATAGTGTTTATTTCTTTAAATACTTTTTTACAAGAAATAAAATTACATATTGAAATATAATTATAACATATAATATTTTACATGTTGTTATTATATTATGATTATAATTTAAGTTCAGGATAATAATTTAATTGATATATCTTACCTCTTTCATACATCATTTTAAAAATAATATTAATATCTCCCACTGTATTTTTAACATTAAATTTTTCACTTTCAATATATGATTTTATGACTTTTTTTACATCAACGCCGGGTTTACTATAATAAATCAACATCCATAATATGTGTGTAATAATGTCATACTTTTTCTTACTGATTTTTAGAAATGCTTTAACATAATCATAAGGTGGCCTATCATACACAGTTAAAAATATCAATATTTCATCTTCAACATTTCTTTCATCTATATTTTTAAACGCCAAACAATTTTCTATTATATTTTGATATCGTCTCCATCTTCTACAAGTTCTACATATATTTTCTTCGTCCAACGCATAATCAATAATATTATTTATTATTCCATTAGGTAAATTCAATTTATATAATTCCATATTCTCTTTTTTAAAGTGGCAACAATCGTAGCATTTCTTATTGATATAATTATTGATTTCGGTTTCCACCATTTCTATTATAATATATAGTTTTTATTTCTTTAAATACTTTTTTACAAGAAATAAATTTATACCTTTAATAACTCATGTCTCAAAATGCCCTGTCATAATTTTCAATATAATAATATTCCTGTCCTAACTTCTTTTCAATCTTTGCTATTTTGTAGGTTTGTTTAGTCCAATGGCTTGTGCGTTCCTTTTCTGTTATTCCTTTTATTATTATAAGTAAGTAATACTTCAAAATTATATTCTGTCCATTGTATATTTTCTTTTCCTTTTTTCTCATCGTGTTCAATCCGCTTATACAGCATTTGTTTGTACGTGCGCACAAATCGTTCAGCCATTGGAGCATGTCCTCTTGTTAAATATAATTCAATGCCTTCTTTTTTGAAATAATCTTGAATGATGCTTGTTGTAAATGAACCTTCCATATCTCCATAAACCATTTTCGGCTTCCTTCCCATTTTGTGTAATCCTTACTCTTCCATGTGCTACATCTTCAGGTTGTTTAGATTTGATAGGTATAACAACCGCATATTTTGTGAAAGCGTCAATAAATAAGAAAGCAACCCTATTTTTTTGATTTGTTAAATCACTGAAAAAGAATAAGTCCATTTGATATTCCCAGTATGGTTCTTTCGGAATAAAACTGTTATATCCTCTCATTTTAGTTTTTTGTTCAACATTATTTTTAAAGAATGCTTCAATATCTGCCATTGTTATGCTTTTATCCTTTGCCCTACTGTCCTTAAGTGTGGTGGCTTTACTTCCGAAACCCCCCTTGTCAAAATAAACATCCTTTATTATATCTTCTTTACTATTGCTCATTATACTAAAGAAGATATTTTAATTTTATTCTGGTTCTTGTTCTGGTTGCTTTTGTTGTTGTAGCCATTGCTGATGCACTTGGCTTCTTTCATGTTCTGTCTTGCCATCCTTTCTTACTATTCTGCCACATTCACAGGTAAATTTAACTTTCCTTTGTTCTGTTATATGTTCCTTATTTTGTTCGTAGTATTTTTTGTATGTTAATTTGTATTTATCTTTGTTCTTGGCATAGTTTTCTCGGTTTTTATTTTGTCGCTCTTCCTTATTTGCTTCATAGATTTGCTTTTGACTTTCCTTAATTTTGTCTTTATTCTTCTCTCTGTGCTCTTTCTTTTTTATCCTTATTAGTTCTTTATTTTCTTCTCGGTATGTTTTACTATATTCAGCTCTCCTTTCTTTGTTTGCTTCTCGGTAGGCTTTAATTTTGTCTTGGTTTTCTTCATAATATTTCTTATGCCTTTCTTGCTCTCTCTCCTTATTATCGTCTCTATATTCTTTATCAGTTCTACCTTCTACTCTCTTATTTACACATTTACTATTTTTTATATAATATCCTTCTCTTGCCTCCAGCTCCTTTTTGCTATTACAAGGGTAATCTTCTATCCATTCAATTTTACAATTTTCAACATCGAAATCATCGAATATTTTGAATACAGTATTTCTATATTTTTTGCCTTTAAGATACTGCGTGTATTTGTATCTATGCCTTGCCATTCTCTGGCTTAGTTCTTCGCATGTAGAACCTATATAGCATGTATTATATCCCACATCTGTTATCCTGTAAATCTTGCCATTCTCATATCTGCTCATATCCTTACTTATCTTAAGTTATCTTTTCTTTAAATCAATATCCATAAAAACTAACTTTATTCAAGTCCCTAGCTCGACTTAATGCAACCCAGACCCATTGCCTAGATACATAACCTTTATTCCAGTCATAAATCACTATCTCATCATCTATTGAACTGCCCTGAACAGAATGAGCAGTAAAGCAATATCTGTAAATAAAATTTGAACGAAGCTTATCTTTCAAAATTGTTAATTCTTCCATTGTTTTAACATTTTGTAAACTAAATATGTTACCATCAATTTTGACTATGGTAAATCTAAAATTAACATTGAACACGAAGCATTTTATTTTTGAATATTCTTTACATATCATAACATCGCCTATTTCAAATTCATCTTTCTTATTTAATAATTTGCGTATGTGATTCGAAACAATTTTACAGGTTTTATTTTCGTATGCTATATTATGATTACACATTTTAATATCATCTACCCATTTAAAGTATTTGTCTATTATTTGTTCAAAGTGGATTTTGGTATATAATGAGTCATGTTTAATGTTAGATAGTTTAGTTTTATCTTCTATAGTGTTAAGCCTTTTGCATTCATATAAATAAATTTCATATTTAAAAATAATCTTGATACATTCGCTAGCGTATTCTTCAAAAGGTTTAGTATTTGATAATGGTTTTATTGTTGGTAGTTGGTTAGTGTCGCCAGTTGCTACTA